CACACACACACACACACACACACACACACACACATACACACACACACACACGCGCGCGCACACACGCACACACCCACACACCCACACACCCACACACACAAACTAATCGTCCAGCCTTCTAATCCCCACGGATACACGGTCACCAGTTTCGACATGCAGGTGAAAATGCCGTCACCTCGCAAAAGCGTAATCGTCATGTGTTATATCCCTGCCATCATAAATTCAAATTAATTTTGTCCCCCTTGCAACATGGCTGCTCAACTGACATTTTTGCAGACGTATTCGGGGGACGACAAATGTAGATCGAAACAGAACCAAACAGAAAACTCAAATAATCAAAACACAAATAATCAAAAAGCTGCCACTTTTCACATGGGTAAGACACACCAGGTGTACATGTGGCCCATGATGTGGGGAGTTCCAACAGAGGGAGTACGTAAGAACATTCACGGAGATGGACATTTTGTTGATGTCGACAACCATTACGGTGTCAATAAGAAAACACTTGCCCAATGTTGCTGAGAGTGCGAGTAAAGTGTCTAACTGCAAGACAATCCTTCTCCTGTGGGTAATGAGCGTTGGTCAAAGGTGCTTCATCAAGGTGGGATTAAAATTGAGGCGTGACAGGATTCCAACAACAAAAGATTATGAAAAGATAAATGAAAAAAAAAAGGCGACCGAGCGCACTCAAAGTCGCAGCACAGGTCAGGCCAACCAGTTCCGGAGTGAAGAGCACAACCTTCCATGAGTAATGGCTCCCAGCTTGTCAAATGTTCAAGGATAGTTGTGTTTTTGGCCCTGAAATTGGACAAACATATTCAGCCCTGTTGCTAGCTGTTCACATTGCTCTAACATGGCTGAAAAATGAAGGTGCTCCATTATCATAGGCAATTTTATACTCCAGTATCGAGCCCACGCTGCCAAACCTCCTTCACAACAACTATAAGCGACCAGCACGCAGCAGAGAAGGGGTAGCCTTGGCACAAATAGTCAATTTAGTATGGATCACTGGCTCTCCTCGCACCGGCTACAACTGGCATCACTGGCTCTCCTCGCACCGGCTACAACTGGCACACCGAAACAGACCATGTCCAGTGTGGGTGACTAAACAACTTTATCCTAGGGACGGGAGGTGTGCACGGTCTGCAGTCACACACATTGTAGACATCAATCTAACCATGTGTGCCGCTCCTGTTCTTCATTGCCGATATGTACATACGCTTCCCTACTGCCAACCTCTTCACCTCGACAAGGGAAGACAAAACCAAGGACTGCAGCAACGCCGATCCAAACATGGTCATGTTACAGAAATTTCAAGGGGAGAGACTCCTAATACAAAAACAGGGGTCCAGGGGACGGATCTAACATGACCATAGTGACCCCGGAGAACAGGGACAGCCACTGGGGCAAAACAAGCGACATTTTCCTCAAGGGGAACCTCTAGAGCTGTACTCAAAATCACAAGGATCCTTTTTTTTCTTTCTTTTTTTTTTTGTTTTGCAGTTCCAATGGAGAAGGCCCTGCTGCAGTTTTAACATTACAGAAGCGACCCCATGCGTACAGATATGTTTCTAATCGATCTAGCAAAGTGCTCATAGTCTCGGCCAAGTGCCTGGTGGTCGCTGATAATTGGTCAGTGATCAGGGCAAGTTGCCTGGTGCTCCTATGTGCCGCTGCTAAGGGTTACCTGACAGTGGAAATGCCGGGCATTGCAGCCATAGGCAAGTCGCAGATCCGCACCTCGTCCTCTGAGATTAGGCTGCGTTGCATTTGCTGTTGAGAGCTTGGCCACGGATTCTTCACGCCAATCCAAGGCTGATAGCGCACGTGCGGTCTTCTTACCCTGAACATAGTCTGAATCCTCATGAGGAATGTGCACTTAAGCTAGGGTTGCGATCAGATATACAGTCATACATAGTCAGAATGAGGGCGCGCTGTGGGGAACGCGGTAGTAGCCAGATTAAGCCAAGGCGTCGGTCCCCTCCGCCCCCTTTTCTGCGGAGCTCCGGCTGGCTATGGTGTAGGGCTATGGTTAGGTTTGGTAACCCAACTAGTTACCCTCATCTCGTGCAGGTGCAGCGCGGCGCCACGTGGAGCGCAGATTGGTTGCTTTCGTTTCTTGTTTTCACTACTTTTTTCTCTTTTTATGTTTTTATTTTTATTTTTGGTAACCGAAGCGAAGGAATGAAGAGTGACGCAGTGCTTGGTCTACCTAGAAGGACTACGTAGAGTCGAAAATTTTATTCCAACGGGTCCAGTCAAGAAATTAAAAAAAATGATTTCTTTTCGAAACAAGTTTTGTTGGTTGGAAAAGAAGGAAAGTAGATTTTGAAGTCGAGCAAAGACGAGAGCTACTAAGGGCGTCGCTCCACTGCGCAAATTCCTGATGTATCCGGAGGAGGTAATGGACCCAAAACATTCGAAACGTTTGATCAGTGTGAACGTATCTGGTGCATAGCGCAGTCCAAAGACATGTTGAGCAGTGGCTCGAAGACCTTAGTCACAGCAATTTGAGAGCGATGCACGGCTGTAAGCAACTCTCTGTCTTTCACAGATTCTAAGCAAAATAGCACGGCAAAGAGGTGGGAGGGAAAAAAAAAAACACAATAAAAGACCTCCATGTAACCTCTACTCGCCTCCACTGCACAGCCCTAATCCTAACACCATCCACATCCCCATCATACCACGTCGAGTCACATGAGCAATTGATGATAAGCACATTACATACAAAAAAAAAAAGAAGATTGAGAGTTCAAATCCCCTCCCTTCTCCCATGATTCTCCCAATGCCCTTCGCCACTGTTCGAGGAGCAACCAACACCCAGAGGCCGAATCAAATCGCGAAAAGTGAAGAAAAAAAAAAACAGAAACCATAATGATAACGGAAAAAGTTTAATGTTTAGTCATCAATGCACCGACGCAACAGAGATCAGATACGTGCATTTAATTGTGAAATCGATTCCCCTGTCCCCTTACCGGTAAATTATACCTCGCCAGAATGAATCTACCCTCAGCCTCCACGGCCTGGGAGAGACCCAGAAAAGAGAAAATAAGGAAAGCAGGCAAAGTTCTGTAGCTGTCAATAGAGTTGAATTAACACGAAACGCGGGCAAGGAGGGACGTACAGCGGCGCTCCCCGGCAAACAGACGAAAGAAGCCTCGGCAGCAGCGAAGGACAAGAGAAACGCCGCTGGGGTGACCAATGGTGGAGCGGAGGGACAGACTGCTCGATCTCGAAGATTGCAGCCAAAAACCACACACATAAGAAAAAGAAAGAAAGACGAACGTAATGAAACTTGTAGCTTCAAATCGGGCGCTCGAGAGCAGAAGGCCGTTCTACCGGGTTTTCGAGAGCAGAACCCTTGCAGTCATACCCTCAGATTCCGCCCTCGCTGATTTTCTAGATCGAGAAACGAGGAGCACTAAAGCGACACCAAGAATAGCGGCGACCAGACAAGCTGCCACAAGGCTGCCAGCCAGCACGCCGACGCTCACACCTCCCCTTGGTGCGGTTTGGACGGTTGCCGGCGAAGGACTTGACAGCGTGTCGGCCAATCTACCACTGACACCTGTACTACTCCCATCGTGTCCTGCCGAAGACGATGCTCCGGCTGCTGGAGAGGCACCGGTTGATTGCGCCGCCGGTGGTGATGGTGATGGTGATGATGATGATGATTCTGTCGAAGGTTCTGGCAACGGTGACGATGGAGAGGATTCTGTTGATGATGCTGGGGATGCCGATGGATAGGCTGAGGTAGCTCCGGTCGGTGCGGCCGCTGTTGGGAATGCACCGCCGCGTTCGCCTAGAGCCGACTTGTTGATTGGAAATTGGAACAGCTGGCCATCCGAGGTCGACACGTACAAGTGACTGTCGTCATTGTCCAGAGCAACCGTCTCCATTCTGTGATATTCTGAGGCATAAGTAGTCACGTTCTCGACGGTGACCACCTTTCCTCTCGGTTTATCGAAAGCCACCCGCATGATAATCTTCCCAGCATATGCAACGACGAACAAGCTGCATCCATCTTGTGTCAACACAGAATCCCGCAACCCCAGCATCTGCGGGATCGCGGTTACTTGAGCCAGCTCTCCACGAATGAGGTCAAAACCTAGCAATGTTGTTTTAGGTATGTCCAAAGCGTATAGGTAGCTACCATCTTCGAGAAAATTTCGATGCTTGAAGACAACACTGTGAAAGTCCGTATAGCATGCTTTACGACGGAAATTGTCGACAAAGCTCCCCGGCGAGTCCCCATCCATGACGGAGGAATGAAGGCAGCTATAATCTCCCACATAGAAAATAGTGCGGTTAGGATTGAACGCACCCGTGTAACCCAGGAAGTAGGAGATGCCGTGCGTGGTTCTGGAACCATCCGCAGTGTTGACGAATGCCAGACCTTTGTTCGATAAGGGCAGAACGAGATGGCGCTCGCTCCGCGACAGATCGAGCGTAGACAACCAATACCGTATAGAGGTTGGGAAGTCACTTACCGGTGTGCCGTTCCCGTTATCGTCCCCCCAATCTACAGTGAGCAAGGAGGAGATGGCCGGAGCGGGCCCAGAGCTGGCAATGCCCCGCATATCACACTTGTGAATCGACCATCTATGTGCTTCATTTCCTGCAGTAGCATAGAAGCAGGAATCCTTCTGCAAATAGAAGAACACCCCCGTCTGGGAGCTAAATACGATATCCTGAATGTAACGAGAACACGTAATGTCATTGGCTGCTGGACGAAAGAGCTGAGTGGTTGTCAAAACCACACGGGGAGTTCCAAGAAGAGTCGTGCTTATGACGGAGAAAGCACTTGATGGCTCTGCCTGGAGCTCTCTTGGTCCTTGCATATCGCCAACTTCATCATTGTACGCACTCTCCGCTCCCGCAACGGACTTCCCTCCTCTCTGTTGCGCTGTCCAGCACATATTATCTGCTCCGACCGCCGCTATCACCCGTAACGGCATGCCCATCATCATCAACATCAATCCTATCATCACCGTCAGCATCGTCATCGAGCTCGAGACACGCAGCCCCATAACTCGTCGCCAGGGGAACGGAAGGAGGGTGGAGGATACTGATTCGCCACTGGAGAGCCAAAGAAGCGTAGGTAAGAGGACGATCGAGAAGCGAGACGTGGACTTCACAGGATGTCTGAATGAACCGCTTCGACAAACAGTACAAACGCACACGCGGAAGCGGGCAGTGGGGGATGCACTGCGCCGTGGTGCAGACAGAGTCTCCAGGCCGTGGCCGTTCTAATCAAAGGGAAAGAAAAAGAAGGGCGCGTGTGTGCAGAGAAGCCCGGCCGTTACGACTGAGAAAGCAGGCCAGATTGACCCTCGAGCGGATCTGAAAAGCAGCGTTGTCAGTTGTGGCTCCGCGAATCTTGTCAGCAAACTAGTTACTCTAGTTACTTATCCCCTTCTCGTCTATGACAAGGCGACGGCGATGGCAGCCATGGGAGAAGATGCTCAGCGAAAGGGCAGGGGAAACAGCGAGGCAAGGTCGCACACGCACACACGCACACACACACACACACACACTGAGAGAGAGAGAGAGAGAGAGAGAGAGAGAGAGAGAGAGAGAGAGAGAGAGAGAGAGATGACGTCAGTCCCCGTAAGAGAAGATGCTACTAGTAGGCCAGAGAAGGCAGCGGATATCTACAGGGCAGGACATGGAGTGGGCGCCTACCACGCTGGCAATGCGGGTGCGACAGTCGAGACTCTCTCCCTTGAAGGCCGCCAATGGAAGTGGTACGGGTTTCGTGCTGACACGGCCGCAGCCTTGCAGAAAGTTTTTGTCACCACAAGAGGAACTCGGAGGGGCCGCGCGGCGTGAGCCGCCCTTGGAAAAACAAAACGGCCGCATCCGAAGTGGTGCGGCATTCACCCCCCCCGAAAAAAAAGAGAAGTGGTGCGGCATTCGTGCTGACACCAGCGGCCCGATGTGTGGTGTACTGATGGGACGTCACGCACAGAATGAGAAGTGGGTACTGGCTATCATCAGATTCTAGCGGGAAAAGTTTCTTTTTTTTTTTCTCTTAATGTGGCCCGATGGACCACGGATCAGAACAGATATATACTACACTTCATCTTAGCCAAAAGGCCGTATAGAACCTCCCAGCGACGAAACCTTTGTATTCAATTCCCGGCAAACGGGGCAAAAGGTGGCGCAATTCCCAAAATGACTTTTCGAGTCATTTTTGCACCCTGCTGGTGCTAGGTCCCACTTGCACGGATTAAAAGATACTGACTGTAGATTGCAAAGATCAACGGCCCAAATCTCCTAATTTCCGCAAGTGGGACCTTGCCCCTGGTCGTTTTCACAGAGAATGGCTAACCAGGATCCGCAGTAAATCCTCCGACATTAGGCTGCGTTTGCCGTTAAGGACTTGGCCCCAGGTTCCTCGCGCCATTTCTTTCCTGATAGCTCGCCTACCGTCTTGCCCCAACACAACGCACCCTCATCAGGCATGTGTACTAGCTACGCTGTTCCCGGTCAGGTACAGCCATTCACAGTAGTAGCCATATTATATTAAGTAGTTTCTCCCCTTCGCCCTTTCTGCGCAGTTCCGCTGGCTATGGTGGAGAGGTAGGGTTGGGATTTGGCAACCTAACTACTTACCCTGCGCTGGTGCAGACGCGAGCAGCTCCACTCGGAGCGCAGACTGGTTGCATTCGTTTCTTGTTTTCTTGTTTTTCCTTTTTTTAACTCTACTTTACTGAAGCGAATGGATGGGGAGTGACGCAGTGCTAGGTCTACCTAGAAAGACAAAATTCGGGATTTCAATTCGAACGCCGGGGCCAACGGTCCAGTCAAGAAATTAACAAAAAAAAAGAATCCTTCTGTCACAAATCACACGAGATTTACTCGTTGTTCGCGAAAAAAAAAAGAAAGATATACTCGTTGAAAAGAAGGAAAGAAAGAATCGGAATCAAGGATAAACCAGAGCGACAAAAAAAGAACGCTCCACTGCGCAACATTCATTCTCAATTTATATGGAGCAGGTAATGGCACCAATTCATTCGAAATGTTTGATCAGAATGAATGTATCTGGTGCACAGAGAAGTCTCAGAGACGTGGCGAATATTGAGTAGTGGAGCGAGGACCTAGTCGCCGCAATTTGAGAGGGAGGGACAGCTGTAAGCAAACTGCCTGTTCTTTTTTTTTTTTTTTTTTTTTTTTTTTTTTTTTACTGCCTGTTTTTCACAGCTTCTAAACAAAAAAGAACGGCAGAAAAGTGGGAAAAAAAAAAACAAAAAAAAAGGAGATAAAACATCTCCGTGAAACCTCAGCTTGCCTCCACCGCGCAACCCTAATCCTAACACTATTTAAATACATCGCACCACGAGTCACATCAAGATGAGGAATTGATGAAAAGCACATTAGATATTTAAAAAAAAAAAAAAGATTGAGAGTTAAAATCCCCTCCCTTCTCGCGTGATACTCACAAATTCGCAATTCCCGTTGTGCTGGTTAAAGGAACAACACCCAGAGGTCCAATCAAATAGACAAATTGAAAACAATAGAGACCGTAATCATAATAAAAATGTCCAATGGTCAGTTCTCAATGCAAGTATCACATGTATAGATTCAAGTTGAAATTGGCTCCTTACCCAAGAGCCTAGCTCAGTGAGTACACCCATGAACTGTTTAAATAGAGACTTGGGTTCGAATCCAGATAATGGAATATTTCTGAATTGCCTGGGGCCGGTCAGCTCAATGATGATATCTCAAAGCCATCGTCCTTCATTTAAAAAAAAAAAAAAAAAAAAAAAAAAAAGACTCCTCGGTCGGCTTACCTCGTACGGACCCATCCGTGCCGATGAGACGGTTTATTTTCCGGCGCCAGCTCGAATATACTACACAGATTAGAGAGCGAGGACGTGGATGAGCTCAAAGCGTCCATGAGAGAAAGGAATGCAGCCAAAGGTCACTTTAGGTAGCATTCATATACATACTACTAAGCGCTTTTCAAACCTAATCTGGCCATCCTTACCGCTCAAGTACATTCAGTCTATGACTCGATGGTAGTCTCAGTGTGAACGTGCGGCGAGAGTCAGCCACCACCCTATTTGCGTTGCTGGGTGTAGTACGTTTCTTCTCTTAACCTCGGCGCAACGAGCACGAACACGAACACGAACACGGCACTTTCTCAAAGCAACACGGAAGAAAAGAATACCAATCGGTGGGGGAGCCTGACTTTGGGCAGCGCGAGTACACCTACCCATCAGTGGATTTTTGTCCCCCAACAAGCTGCTCCTTGCTAGACATGACAAATCCCTTCCCATCCCTCAGCCGCCAACCCATTGGTGGATTGCCCCCAAAAAGCTGATCCTTGCTGGACTTAACCATTCCCATCCCATCCCTCAACAGCCACCGCCTGCAGGGAAGAAGGAAAAAAAGAAATCAGGCAAAGTTATCTATCCGCTAATAGAGAGATTATAATCAGTTCAAATCGAGATGGACTTGATGTTGATGCCGTTAAGGGCCATGGCATCCCCTCAGAAGAAAGAGTTAAAAAGAAAATGGAAAAATACAAGACGGGTAAAGAGTGACATACAAGACTTTGCAGCAGCAGCAAAGTTTAACGAGCAGTCTGAGATGAGAAACTTTACTGAGGGTAACCTACCCTCGAGCTGCAGGCCGCTCGATCACTGAGATTGCAGCCGAAAACCCCACACACAAACGAAAGGAAAAGAACAGAGACTCTGAGAGAGAGCTGCAGACTTAAATCGGGCGCTCGAGAGCGGAAGACCGTTCTACCGGGTGTTCGAGAGCAGAAGACCTTGCAGTCATACTCCCAGGTGCCCCCATAGCAGATTTTCCAGATCGAGATACGAAGACGACAAAAGCGCCACCAAGAATGGAGGCGACCAGACAAGCTGCCACAACCACGGCAGCCATCACGCCGAGGCTGACACCTCCCCTCGATGGCGTTTTGACCGTTGCCGGTGAAGACGTTTAGAGTGTGTCGTCCAACCGACTGCTGCCACGTGTACTACTCCCATCATGTCCCGGTGAAGACGATGACCCCGTGGCCTGAGATGCATCAGTTGATTGCCCTGGCGATGGTGGTGGTGGTGATGATGATGATGATGATGATGATGATGATGATGATGGCGCTGGCGATAAAGATGGATCGGCTGAAGTACCCCCGGTTTGTGCGCCTGGTGTCGGGAATGCCCCGCTGCATTGCCCTAGAGCCAGCTTGTTGATTGGAAATTGGAACAGCTTGCCTGTGCGGGTCGACACGTACAAATGGCTGTCGTCGTTATCCAGAGCAAGCATCCAGATAGAGTGATTTCTGAAGACCCAACTGGCCACCACCTCCACCGTAACCACCTTTCCTCCCGGTTTATCAAAAGCCCCCCGCATGATGCTCGACCGATCATCCTTATTATCTGCGACGAAGAAAAACTTGCATCCGTCTTGTGTCAGCACAAGACAACTTCCTAATGGGGTCCCAGTTAGAGGAGCCACCACTCCACTGGTTAGGTCAAAGCCTACAAGTGTAGTATTAGCCACAGCGTATAGGTAGCTGCCATCTTGTCGAAAGCTTCGATGACTGAAGTGGAGGCTTCCCGGAATGCTCGTAGGGCATGCTCTTGTTTGGAAGTCGCTGACAAAGGTTTCGGGCGACTCGCCATCCATGACGGAGTACTGAAGGCAGTCATCTGTTGCCACGTCGAGCGGTTAGGATTGAATGCACCGCTATAATAGAACAGGTCGGAGACGTTATAGGTGGTTCTGGAACCCACCGTCGTGTCGATGAATGTCAGACCTGCGCCCGAAAAGCCATTCGCAAATGGCAGAACGAGATACCGCTCGCTCCGGGACAGATCGAGCGCCGTAAAGCGAATATTAGACGGGAATGTGGAGTTGTAGGGCTGCCTTACCGATGTGCCGTTCGGGTTATACGACGTCCACTGAAGAGTGAGCAGGGAGCAGCTGGCCTCTGCGGTCCCAGAGCTGCCAAGGCCTCGCATATCACACTTGTGCAAAGACTGACCTTCACTGAGCGAAGTTCTGGCAGAAGCATTCTCGCAGTAATCCCACTGCGAGTAGAAGAACACCCCCGTCTGAGAGGTAAATACCATGTTCGTGATATGTTGAGAACACTCAACGTAACCGGATGAATTACCGTAGAAAATTGTACTAGCGGTCAAAACCACTCGGGGAGGCTGAAGAAGAGTCGTGTTGAACATGTTCCAGATGTCGAAAACACTCAAAGAGTCTGCCTGCAGCTCCCTCTCTCCTTGCATATCGCCAATGTCATCACACGCACTCTCCGTCCGCGCAACGGACTCCCCTCGTCTCTGCGCTTCGAAGCTCCTCCCTTCTGCTCCGACGGCGGCTGTCACCCGTAACGGCATGGTTATCATCATCATCATTACTATCATCACCGTCAGCATCGCAATCGAGATCGAGACACGCAGCTCCACAACTCGTTCCCAGAGGACTGGAAGGACGGTGAAGGTCAAGGATGGGTTTTATAACTTTTTTCAAGGATAACTATTCACGCACTGGTAGCCGGGCCGGTGGAGAAGCGACACGTGGACTTCGGAAGAAGATCTCTGAATGAACTGCTGCGACAAAAAGCACAAACAGACACAACAAAGCCGGCAGTGGATGCAGTGCGCCGTGATCCAGAGTCTCCAGGCCGTGGCCTGCTCATCAAAGTGAAAAAAAGAAAACAAAAAGGCAAAAGAAAAAGAAGGGCGGGTGTCCGGAGAGGAGCCCCGCCGCCGCCACTGAGAAAGCAGATAAGGTTGAACCGTGAAGGCATCAAAGTGAAAAAAAAAAACAAAAAGGCAAAAGAAAAAGAAGGGCAGGTGTGCGGAGAAAAGCCCCGCCGCCTGCACTGCGCCGTTTTCAGTTCTCGCTCCGTGACTCCTGTCAAGGACTATCTCCTCGAACTACTTATCCCCGGCTCGTCTATGACAGGCGGCAGTCGAAGTGCCAAGCAGCCGCCACTGCCCGCCAGGGAAGACGGTGCTCGCCCAAAGGGTAGGGGAATGGGCAAGTGACCTGAACATAGTCACGCTGCGCAGACAGACAATTGAATGTGCACACAGACACACACACACACACACACACACACACACACACACACACACAGAGAGAGAGAGAGAGAGAGAGAGAGANAGAGAGAGAGAGAGAGAGAGAGAGAGAGAGAGAGAGAGAGAGAGAGAGAGAGAGAGAGAGAGAGAGAGAGAGAGAGAGAGGAATGACTTCAATCCTGGTAAGCGATGCAGGAAGAGAAACACACGAGAAGATGGTAGGGGTAGGCGAGAGAAGATAACAGCAGAGTAATCTGGCAGCGGAGATTAGAGGACGTGACACGGAGTGGGCGCCTACGGCGCTCGTAATGCGAGTGAGACAGTCGAAACACTGACCGCAGTCTCTCTCCCTCGGATCCACTTCTGCCTCCCGCTCGCTGCTACAGCGTGAGGTCGCCCATCAAGTCCTGACAGCACGCTCATAATGAGAAGTGGGTACTGGCTATCATCACATTTTAGCGGCTTGAGGAGAGGTCCAAGGGTCGAGCGCCTCTGGCTGGGAAACCCCAATCGTTTTTTCTTTTTTTTCCCTTAATTGAGAGGGCGACAGCGTTGAGATATCATCATCGACGGAATTGTTGTATGTCATTCAACTGGTTTCAAACTTTGGTCTGCATTTCAGCAGTAGAGGGGTGACCCATCGGTGAAACCCAATTTTTTGTCCCAAGGCTTCCGGACATCCGCCAAAACAAGAACGATACACAGATGAAATATTTGTTTGTTTATTTATTTATTTATTTTTGCCCAGAAGATTAGCATGACTCCTGCGCAAGGATGACACGAATAATCGAGAAACCCCAATCCTTTGTTCTTGTTTCACTTGAAACGATGAGCCACGCCCTTGAGTGCCATCCTCGATCTATCGAACCCACAGAGTGTTTCTTGTTTAATTCATTTTGGATTGACCTCCCGTCTACTCAGCAACATGTACGAACATGAACTAATGTAAGAAAAATAACAAAAAGAACTCTGCCGTACGCGGGAGCGGTTGCATGCCGCACGACGCATGCTTTTTTGGCAGTGAGCCTTTTTTTTTTTTTTCCCCTTTTTTCTTTTAGTTTTCTAGTTTCTCGTGAAGTTGTCGGTATTGCGACAGCACACTTTACACGTTCATCCAAGGTAACAATGGGAACTAAGACACAGCTGAGCCGTTAGATCACACAAAGCATTCCGGACCCAGAGCAATGATACGACTGTATATGACGAGGAAGAAGACAATGGGAGTTATACGGCCTAGCTGCAGTACTGGCCATCCTCCACAATTCCTTTCGGATGGTCGAGAGCAAAAAAAAGAGAGCAAAAAAAAAGACAATTGTGCCTAAATGGAGGCCTTGTTGCACTTCCTCTCCCCTATATTTCTTGTACAGAAAAGTTAAAAAAATATGTCTGTCCTGATCTCCACTCGTGAAGCGGTTCACTCTCCAATAAGTTGTTTTGCGGAGAGGTCGGAAGGACCTCCCCTCCACAAACCGCCTTTGACAGGCTGGGAAACCCAAAACACTCTCCAGAAGCAGTCTAACACAGTGTGTTTTTTTTTTTTCTGTCTGACACAGTTTTCATTCGCCAAGATTGGCAAGTAAGTGCAACGAAGCACCTACTCGCCAAACTTGGCAGATGGCCAGTAGTGCAACCAGGCACATAGACAAAAGACGAGGGAGGATGGTAGTTGAAAACAGAAGTCCAGTGATGAATCCCGAACAGTGCCTATGAATCCCCCCACCGCGAGGGCCGCCAGGATCCGGACCGCAGGCCATGGCCCCTGCGGTTGGGTGCGGCCGAGAATTTCATATATTTATTTTAAAAGAACTAATGGACCAAAAACAAATATATATATATATAGGCGGTTGTAGGGTTTGAAGATACCTACAACCCTACATTTTCTCTTTTGGATTATGAAGTGGTTTTTCATTTTTTTTAAATAGAAAACCAAAAACAAGTATTTTAATCAAAAGAAATGTAATAAAAAAAAAGGGAAATTTTTATTTTTCATGTGTGTGTGTGTGTGTGTGTGTGTGCACGTGCGGGGGGGAAAGGTGACCCCTTCCCCACCAATCAATCAATCAATCAATCAATCAAAAAAAAAAAAAAAAAGTAAAAAAAATGAAACAGCCGGTTAGACCCCCGCGCGCGTGTGTGTGTGCGCTC